TCCTCATGGCCCCATAAATATATATATATATATATATATATATATATATATAGTGTGTTATACACAATTTTTTTCTCCCTGTGGTGATTGCGTAAGATAACTGTACACTGGCTGCTTGGGGTGTGTTTTCCTTGTATCGTGCTTTTTAAAAAGACCAATAGCAGCTGTGATTGGAGCAGGTGTCCTCCTCACTTGTCTTTGTGCACCCAAATCTGAGCAGAGTATTATTCCTCACTGTGAATTTCCTTTATTTATGGCACGCTTAAGAACAAGACGCGGACCCTTAAAATAAAACCGTTCACCTCTAGTGTTTTTTTTTTTTTTTAAACGCTTCGACTGTCAGATACAGCCTGGTGGGAGTATTGAGTTTCCAATTTTTAACTTGGGGATAATGCACCATTTTAGAGAATATAGAGGCTTGAGTCCCCCGCAGCCCTCCCCCCGGGAGACTAAGACCTGCTTTTTTGTGAGTGGTAATCCCAGCCTTATGCCAAGGGGCCGGGGGGGCTGGGCGTCGGGACGCTGCTTTGCCCCAGTCCATCTGAGACCCCGTGGTGACAGACTGCCGCCGTAACTCGGGCCGGTCAGCCTGGGTTGCCGGTGGCCTCACAGAATTTTCTGCCGTATCTCTGACCTGTTAAGTGTTTGTTAATGTTAAAGTTCATGCGTATCTTTGGTTTTTAGGTTTAGTCGTGTCATTGGTGATGTTGGCTCTTGTCTCTATTGTTTGCCCCTGTCTATTTATGTATATCTGTAGGTGAATCTAGGCATCAGAGATGGACGTGTCATTTCTGTCTGTCCATCTTGCTTTTTCTCTTGGTATATCCTAACCTTCCCCCCTTGTCTCAAGTCCTTACTGTACACATTGCACTTCATTGTTGTGTATCTGCATTTGTTCATGTTTTTTTGCTGTATGTCTGTTCTGTGTAAGTACATAGAGAGCAAGGAAAAAACTGGAGACAAATTCCTTGGCCAGTAAAAATTATTCTTAATGATTCTTATTTCAAAGTTGATGGTGATATTTTGTATTTTCAGTCCGTCCTGCCTCACCTGGTTTCTGCCCGAGGTGCTCTGTGGCAGCTTGGGACTGACCGGCCGGCCGTGCTTTGTCCCTCCCACCCCGCCCCCCTGTGCTTTTGTAGGACGCCTCGTTCGCAGACATCAGAAAGGCCTATCGCAAGCTGTCCCTGACCCTGCACCCCGACAAGAACAAAGACAAGAACGCCGAAACTCAGTTCAGACAAGTAAGCCGCCGCCCCACATGTGCCTTCGCTGCGTTGCTGCACCACTACGAAAACGGATAAAAATCGTGTATTATTCTAGAACACTTCAAATAATTACAAAAGAATGGGTAATTTTAATGTTTCATGCAATTTTGCGGCCTGTATCCTGTTGTATCAAGTTTTAATTAAATATGAATGTAATTACCTGCCGGGTCATTTTAACTCCCAAAGGTGATAATGAGAACTGTGAAAAATATCAAAACAAGTAAGAAGATGTATAATCACGAGGTTCTGGCTACCCGAGCCAATTATGCAGCCTTAATTAAAGGAGGAAATCCAAGACGTCAGGCAGCAGTAGGACCTGGAGAGAAAGGAGCCTCATAATAAAATGGCATTATGGGTTTTAAACACAGAGACGGAAATTTATACCATTTCCAGGGCTGAGAGCGGTTTGATTTCTGCTTTGTTCCAGTCAAGAAAAAAAACCTTAAAGGATAACCAGAAAAAGTAAATTTGAAATCTATCATTTTAAATAATAATGTTAAGTAGACCTTTTTAAGGTATGTTGATCATTTGTGGTTTTGATAATCATGTTCATATGTCAGATTTGGGGTGATAGGGAATTAAGGTGTGTGTGTGTGTGTGTGTGTGTGTGTGTGTGTGTGTGTGTTTTTTTTTTTTTTAAACTTTCCTGAAAAAATAATGGTAAATCATTGTCCCCATTGTCTTAGTAAATTTGTCATCTTATTATTATATTAATGAATCATTACAGAAAAGTTTTTGTAATATACAATTAATTTCTGGGAGGAGGCCCCGGGGAAGACCCAGGACACGCTGGAGGGACTATGTCTCTCGGCTGGCCTGGGAACGCCTCGGGATTCCCCCAGAGGAGCTGGATGAAGTGGCTGGGGAGAGGGAAGTTTGGGTTTCCCTGCTGAGACAGCTGCCCCCGCGACCCGACCTCGGATTAAGCGGGAGATGATGGATGGATGGATGGATGGATGGATGGACAATTAATTTCTGTCAGACTGATTTGCGGAGTGTGACAGTTCCATTGGGTTTCTGAGGTCAGTGGCACTGGTGCGGCCTTATATGAGAGCGGCATACATGGAATCGGGCAGGGGAGTCATGATGAAGCTAACGGTTATATGAGCAAGAAATTCTCCTGGAGCATATGTTGAAATTGGGCGCTCTAAATCGCTCGCCGAGTACAGTCTGACTGAATGAGGCTGGATTCATCTGCATTCTGTCTTCTTTCAGCTGGTGGCGATCTACGAGGTACTGAAAGATGAGGAGCGACGACAGAGGTTCGTTTCATTTGTTCGCTAATCATCTCCATGCCTGATCGGTCTGGCCCGGCTTGGTGTAACCGTGGTTGGCAGCTCTTCAGACCCATCCCGTTCTGGGCTGGCGGAGCCAAAATGTTGGGAAAGCTTAGAGAGGTAGGGAAGTAAAAGGCAAGGAAATGGCCGACTTTGTGCCCGCCGCTTCCCTGAGGTGATTGTGTCATACAGATGGCTCTGTGGAGCCTTGTTCTTATTCTAGTCGGCTAGAGAAGAGACCCTCGAGTGCTTGACCTGTTAGTTTGGGCGTGTGTGTGTTCTCCTGAAGTGGAGGGCGGTAAGACAGAATTAGTCAGCATGCACCCTATTCCACTCTCACTCTCCCCAACCTCAGCGCCTGTTATAATTTATCCTCCCTGCTGGGATCTTTGAGCCCCGTCCTCCCCCTACCCCAACCTTAGGTGTCTGCCTCCACGAGGTGTTGACAGTGCGAATGACTTCATATTGCACGTGTCCCGGCTGGGGGAGGGCATCATACTGTCCAGCCCACACAGCCCAAGGGGGTGGGATCAATCCCTAAAGGGGTGCATGCCGCTTACCCAGAATCCCTTGCTGTCATATTGGCAAATAACAGGACAGTCCACTTTTTTGCAGCAAAGCAACCCAGTTCATGAAAGTTTCCCTTGAGTTCCCGACGTGATCAAAATCAAAACAGCAAGTCGCTTTTGGCTAGCATTGGCTAAGCAAACAGCAGAATGGTTAATGAAACGCTTAGTCTGCCCCATAATGGTGCCTTTGGAGTAAACCTGGTGCTTGGTAGGTCCCATCATACTTAAGTTTATCCAGGGCCTGAGTTTCTATACAAAAACAGCATTAATGACAATCTATTCATCTGCTCATGTGGACCCATCGATCCTTTCTCCACCGTCTGCGTGCTAATTCCAGCCCTCTATCTCCCTGTGGCTTTTTTTTTTGCCTGCCACTCCATCTGCCCCCCACGTCTCTGTCCAGGGCCAGCGGGGTGATGAAACAGCTCCGTTTCCCGGCGACTGGCAGCACGCAAGGGGCGGAGCCTGCCTGGCCCAGGCCGGGGCTTCTGTGTGATCCACGATGATTTTCATTGATAGTAAAATCAATGTGGCATCGATCCGGGGGCCTGGCTCCTCGCAGGGGGGGGGGGGACGACGACGTTCAGATGGGCCGCCACACTGCAAGTCCCTAAATACCCCGCGCTCCTCTGGGGCCTTAATGCACAGGCGGCGGAGGCCGGGAAGGCATCCAGGTCTAAATAGGATTTCTGAAGGGGTTGGGGGGGCTAGGGGGGGATCGTTATTTGACCCGAGCCTCGTGTTCTAATAGCAGTCTAAGACAAACTTAGCTTTTTTTCTTAATTGCCACATGTCTGGGGGTGGGCCGTACTCCTGGCTGTGGCGTGACCCGGTTGATCAGGCCTCCGTTATCGAGCAAACGGGTCCCCTTGATGCTCTGTTATATATTGCTTAAAAATTAATTTAAACTGATATATAAATAAAAATATGATGCTTCATAAGAATTACAATTTGAATTGCATTTGGCTTCCAGAACTGCTTCAGAACAAAGTGCTGTGTTCCATATTTTGAGAGAAAATACCCTGCTCTCAAAATAGATCTTACTAGTTTAAGTCTGTGCGTTTATCCAGTTTTCTTCGCTGAGTCAAGCCTTGCAGCTTGGGTAAAGTGCTTCAAATTCAGTGCACGGCTCAGAAACAAATGTGTAAAAATCAGCTGGAGAGATGGAGCAATATCTCCAGGTCTGGGAAATGGCAGGGTCCCAGTGTGCCCCCCCAGCTTTTGTTAAGTGCCTCTTCATGGGACTGACATTATGGTCGCTCATATTGTCCATCAGATACAACGACATCCTGGTTAATGGACTGCCCAACTGGGGGCAGCCGGTATTCTACTACCGGCGGGTGAGGAAGATGAGCAATGGGGAGCTGGGCCTGCTTCTCTTCCTTATCTTGACAGTTGGCCACTATGCAGTCATCTGGTCCATCTACCTGGAGAAGCAGCTGGTGAGTGAAGGTGTGGAGAAGACATCTTCTCAGCATCTTTACGTTTCTAAAAGGCTGGCATTTTGTCCCCTGATCAAGGGCTGGTGTGTTGCTGTTTTTGTTTGCATGTGTTTTGCTACGTTTCATTGTGTTTTTGTTAATGATTTTGGAATAATCATAGATTCACAGAACTTGGGGCGTATGCTTGCTGCTGGCGTTTGTCGCTTTACTGGCTCACATCACTCTGCCCCACTAGTCAGTGCGATGCCCTGTCCAGGCTGAGCTTGGCAGGGTCATGGATAAAAGCGACGTGATCCATGAGTGTGCTGAGCCACTTAGAGCTGCTGCCTCCCATACTGAAGAAGCAGGCCCTCACTCTTTAGAGACGCTGTGATTCTCATGTAACGGGCCACGTAGTGGCGGTGCGCCCGGTCGTTGTGTCCAGGCTGTGGTCCACACGTCTTTTGTCTGTCTCTGAAAGGATGAGCTCCTGAGCAGGAAGCGAAGGGAGAAGAGGAAGAAGGCTAGCAGTAGGAGTGGGGAGGAGCTGAAGCCCCTGGGCCAGGAGAGCAGCGAGAGGTGAGCCAGCGGCCGCTGCTCCTCCAGGGGGCTGCTCGGAGCGCAGCCGTTACACACCAGCTAAACCCTCTGTCCTCTTTCAGGTCATCTGAGAAGCCTCACTGGCAGGACATCTTGCCTCTCAAGATGAGCATCTGGCTGTATCTATCTATAAAGTCCCTGCCCCACCTGATCCAGGTACCGTTCTGGTACAGTCGCCGGTCCCGTCGCTGTAGGTGGAGCCGGCCGCTGCTGACAATGCACTCCTCCTGCCCAGGATGTGAAGCAGTATTACGAGGATTACCAGGAGATGAAGATGAAAGCAAGGCAGGAGGCCCTCGAGCTGGCGGAGCAGGAGGCGCTGCACAGTGAGTCACCCACCCACGGGGGGCGCCCTCTTCGTCCTCCACTTCACTTAGTTATGACTGTCTGGATCTACCAGCACACAGGAAGTCATGGTCCAATCGCGTTCACGTGCTGGGAATCGCGGGAGCGTGAGAGTGCGTGGCCTGTCCTTCCCGCGGACTGCCCCCCCCACCACCCCGGTTTGTCGGATGGATTCCTCCTAATGGCCCACCACGGTGTCTGGGCTCCCGCCATGCGCTGGGAAGTTCTTTTTTTATTTTATCACTTTAAGTCAGCACAGCCTGAATCTCAAATCGGTAATAATAACAGAGGTTGGTGCAGGGAGGCGGTTAATCTGTCCTCTGATTCTGTGCCAGCCTCGCTGTTCTGCACCCTCTCTCTGCCACCCAGTGGGTTTGGGGCATTACGGGACTCTGGGTTATTGGCAGATATAGCTTAGACAGTGTAATTAGGAGGATTCTTCTCCGGATTTTGGCGGTTCTTCCACAGGGCATTTGAAATCCTATCTTTCTGAGTGAATCGAGTGTCACGCCACTCGAAGGCAGGCATAGTAATGCGCGACTGCTCCCGCTGGAGGCCGCCCGCAGGCTCGACCTTGGCGTTGACCGCGCGTCTTTCCATCCCGCAGAGGAGAAGAGGACCAAGGTGAAGAAGCCCAAGGCCGCCTTCCCGGTGTATGAGCCCCCCTCGGCAGAGGCGGCTTTCGTGCCGGCGTATGATCAGGGCGCATCGATCGAGGAGATCGAGGATCAGATGGACGACTGGCTGGAGGACAGGAGGAGCCAGAAGAAGAAGGTAAACAAGTGTTTCCCTTTCATCTTCCCTCAGACGTCGTGTGCTACCCGGGATCTGGGCTGAAGAACTCGCCAGGCTTTCAGATGAATCTTTTTATGTTTTTATGTTGCTGCCGACGGCCAGTGCCGAGTAAAGTCTGTAAGAGCTTGTGGTCGATTGCATTAACTGTCCAGAGACCTTTCTGAGTGCGGCGCGGTGCTGCAGCCCGCCTGGTCTCTCAGCGCCTGTCCCCAGGAGGGAGCACTTAATGTGGGGCCCTGGACATGTGAGCACACACCGGCTCTCCGGTCGGCCATTAGGCTCCCCGCGGTGCCGTGTGGAGGGGCGTGGCCCACGTGGGAGGGGCTTAGTGCCGGCAGGCGTAGCCATTAGCTGCCGGCTGGGTGCTGTTTCAGCCGCGGGGACATTAATGGGGTAATCACTGAGCAGGGAAGTGCGCTCGGGGGACCACTGGCTTTTTGTAGTCTGGAAGAAGATCCCAGCTGAAAGGGTAGAGGGGCGGAGAGAGGGTCGACATGGCAGTGCGTCGCAGCGTCCATGCCGGCCCTCTATGCCTGTGCTGCCCCTCTTGCATTTTGAGATATTCCCCTGCAGGTCTGTGCCATCCCTTCTGGGGGGCTCTGCTCCCATGCTGGCATCTAGATGAATAAAATGGCTCCTTAACCAAATCTGGCCCCTCCTGTTTAAAATGCATTAATGATTACCCTCCTCTGCCCTCCAGGACAGAACCTGATC